CATGAGAAAGAGGGTGGGTGATGGCAACATTGTCCATGGCTACATGGTCATGGATGCTGGTGCTAACATGCTGGCAGTAGTGAAGGCTGTGCACCTCAAGGGTATCATCTGCCTGACACACTTCACCTGGTGATGAAGGATGCTCTGGGGCTGGGGAGCACTGTTGAGGCCATCTGGGACACTGCCCCCCCCTTGTACAGAGAAGAAGAGAAGACGACCCTGCAGGGGGCAGCAAGAAGGCAATTAGGATAGTGAGGTCAGCACCTTCTCCCCTGCTAAGTGTAATTCCTTGTCTGTCTCCAGATGACTACTCTTAGGGCAACATCATGCCTCTTCTCAGAACTGCCACACTCAGTTTTAGCCTCTCTCTCAGCTGGAGATGTAGTTAGGAGGCAATTAGGATAGTGAGGTCAGCACCTTCTCCCCTGCTAAGTGTCATTCCTTGTCTGTCTCCAGATGACTACTCTTAGGGCAACATCATGCCTCTTCTCAGAACTGCCACACTCAGTTTTAGCCTCTCTCTCAGCTGGAGATGTAGTTAGGAACCTATCTCTGACCGATTTCACACAAGAGCTGCACGTGGTTGTGCCTCCCTTTGCCCCACTTCTATTGGTCAATTTCCCACTAGAAGTCGTGCAGCTGCATTTTGACCCACGGCTTCGCCTGATTTCCCCCGCGGTTTCCCCTCAAAAAACAGGATCACGAAATCGCAGGGGAAATCGGGCAAAGCCGCAGGTTAAAATGCGGCCGCGCGGCTTCAAGTGGGAAATTGTTCAATAGAAGCAGGGCAAAGGGAGGCACGACCGTGGCACAGCTCTTGTGTGAAATCGGTCTTTCTCTCTTCTCTTTCCTGTCAAGTATGTTAGTTCCTAAATAAACCTTTATCTACTCTTTAATTGGGTTGTGCATCATTGCTGTGCCGTGAAGAGCCACCCAAGACGGAGAGGCCACAGCAGAGAACTCAGACCAAGCGTGATCCCCCTGGAGAAGGAAATGGCAACCCACTCCAGTACTTTTGCCAAGAAAACCCCATGGACAGTATCAAAAGGCTAAAAGATATGACGCCGGAAGATGAGCCCCTCAGGTCGGAAGGTGTCCAATATGCTACTGAGGAAGAGCAGAGGGCAAGTACAAGTAACCCCAGAAAGAGTGAAGCGGCTGGGCCAAAGCCGAAAGGACCCTCAGTTGTGGATGTGTCTGATGGTGAAAGGAAAGTCCAATGCTGCAAAGAACAATACTACATAGGAACCTGGAATGTAAGATCTATGAATCAAGGTAAGCTTGACGTGGTCAAAAATGAGATGGCAAGACTGAACATCGATATCCTAGGAATCAGTGAACTAAAGTGGACAGGAATGGGCGAATTTAACTCAGAAGACCATTATATCTACTACTGTGGCCAGGAATCTCGTAGAAAAAATGGTGTGGCCTTTATAGTCAACAAGAGAGTGCAAAAGGCAGTACTGGGATACAATCTCAAAAATGACAGAATGATTTCTGTCCGATTCCAAGGCAAACCATTCAACATCACAGTAATCCAAGTCTATGCCCCAACCACTGATGCAGAAGAGGCTGAAGTGGACCGGTTCTATGAAGACCTACAACACCTCCTAGAACTAACACCAAAAAATGATGTCCTCATCATCATAGGGGACTGGAATGCTAAAGTAGGAAGTGAAAAGGTAACTGGAATAACAGACAAGTTTGGCCTTGGAAAGCAAAATGAAGCAGGGCAAAGGTTAACAGAGTTTTGTCAAGAGAACACACTGGTCATAGCGAACACCCTTTTCCAACAACCTAAGAGGCGACTCTACACATGGACATCACCAGATGGGCAACACCGAAATCAGATTGACTATATAATTTGCAGTCAAAGATGGAGAAGCTCTATCCAGTCAGTAAAAACAAGACCTGGAGCTGACTGTGGTTCAGATCATGAGCTACTCATTGCAAAATTCAGACTTAAACTGAAGAAAATTGGGAAAACCACGAGGCCATTCAGGTTTGACCTAGATCGCATCCCTGATGAATATACAGTAGAGGTGAAGAATAGATTCAAGGGTCTGGATTTGATAGATAGAGTGCCTGAAGAACTATGGACAGAGGTTCGTGACATCGTACAGGAGGCAGCAATCACCACCATCCCAAAGAAAAAGAAATGTAAGAAAGCAAAGTGGCTTTCTGATGAGGCTTTACAAATAGCAGAGGAAAGAAGGAAAGCGAAAGGCAAAGGCGAAAAGGAAAGATTTACCCAACTGAACGCAGATTTCCAGAGAACAGCAAGGAGAGATAAGGAGGCCTTCCTGAATGAACAGTGCAAAGTAATAGAAGAAAACAATAGAATGGGAAGGACTAGAGATCTCTTCAAGAAAATTGGAGAAATCAAGGGAGCGTTCCATGCAAAGCTGGCCATGATAAAGGACAAAAACGGTAGGGACCTAACAGAAGCAGAAGAGATTAGGAAAAGATGGCAAGAATACACAGAAGAACTATACAAGAAAGACCTCGATGTCCTTGACAACCACGACGGTATAATCACTGACCTCGAGCCAGACATCCTGGAATGTGAAGTTAAATGGGCCTTAGAAAGCATTGCTAACAACAAAGCTAGTGGAGGTGATGGTATTCCAGCTGAGCTATTCAAAGTCTTAGAAGATGATGCTGTTAAAGTGCTGCACTCCATTTGCCAGCAAATTTGGAAAACGCAACAGTGGCCACAGGATTGGAAAAGGTCAGTATACATTCCAATCCCAAAGAAGGGCAATGCCAAGGAATGTTCAAACTATCGCACAATTGCACTCATATCACACGCTAGCAAGGTCATGCTCAAGATCCTACAAGCTAGGCTTCAACAGTACGTGGATAGAGAACTACCAGAAGTACAAGCTGGGTTTCGAAGAGGTAGAGGAACTAGAGATCAAATTGCCAACATTCGCTGGATTATGGAGAAAGCAAGAGAGTACCAGAAAAATATCTACTTCTGCTTCATTGACTATGCTAAAGCCTTTGACTGTGTGGATCACAACAAACTATGGCAGGTCCTTAAAGAGATGGGAGTACCAGACCACCTCACATGTCTCTTGAGAAACCTGTATAAGGGCCAAGAAGCGACAGTTAGAACCGGATATGGAACAACTGATTGGTTCAGCATAGGAAAAGGAGTACGACAAGGATGTATATTGTCGCCTTGCTTATTTAATATATATGCAGAGTACATCATGCGAAATGCTGGCCTGGATGAATCACAAGCGGGAATTAAGATTGCTGGGGAAAAGATCAACAACCTCAGATATGCAGACGATACCACTCTAATGGCAGAAAGTGAAGAGGACCTAAAGAGCCTCTTGCTCAGGGTAAAAGAGGAGAGCGCAAAAGTGGGCTTGAAGCTCAACATCAAAAAAACTAAGATCATGGCATCCGGTCCCATCACTCCTTGGCAAATAGAAGGGGAAGCTGTGGAAGTAGTGACAGACTTCACGTTCCTGGGATCCCAGATCACCGCAGACTGTGACTGCAGCCATGAAATTAAAAGACGCCTGCTCCTTGGGAGGAAAGCGATGGGGAACCTAAACAGCATGATAAAAAGTAGAGACATCACCCTGCCAACAAAAATACGCATGGTCCAAGCAATGGTATTCCCAGTAGTCATGTATGGCTGCGAGAGTTGGACTATAAGGAAGGCCGAGCGCCGAAGAATAGATTCTTTTGAACTATGGTGCTGGAGAAGACTCTTGAGAGTCCCTTGGACTGCAAGAAGATCAAATCAGTCAATCCTAAAAGAAATCAACCCTGACTGTTCCCTGGAAGGCCAGATAATGAAAATGAAGCTCAAATACTTTGGCCACCAAATGAGAAGGGAGCACTCACTGGAGAAGACCCTGATGCTGGGAAAGATTGAAGGTCAAAGAAGACAGGAACGGCAAAGGATGAGATGGTTGGACAGTGTCATCGATGCAACGAACATGAAACTGAGCAAACTTCAGAGGACAGCGGAAGACAGGAGGGCCTGGCGGGATCTAGTCCATGGGGTCGCGAAGAGTTGGACTCGACTGTGCGACTGAACAACAACAAAGACAACTATAAAAAAGAAAATCTTATAATGCTGCATGGAAAAATCAGCAAAATTGTGCACAGAAGAGTTGAGAACTGGGTAGGAAGAAGGAGGCAGTTCCTAAAATATGTAATCACTTAGGAGTGTTGAGCCTCCTAGGAAACACACACAGTGAGAAAGGTCAGTCATAGGGGGAAACTGTATACGTGCCTTTTAAGCCAGTTCAGTGAGCTGTTCTAAGGCTCTAGTACTGGCATAAAGCTTGTTATTAGGACCACCTGAACTGCTGGAAAGTAGTAAGCTTTCAGATTCACAGAATTCTTCAGAATGGACAGGAAGCAAAAAAAATAAAGGAGTAGGAAGAGAAAGATATTGCTTAGATGGAGAAAAAGCTCCAGTTCTTAGCCTGCAGGAGCTTAAAATGGACAAGACGCTCTTAAAAAACGCTCTTCGTTTTCACGTCAAGGCCATTACAAATTGGCAATTTCCCATCAGCTAAGCAGCCGATACCTCCTCTGCTGGCGACTTGCTGACCCCTTCTGTCGATGCCAACACGCTACATGCCAGCGTTGAAGCGGGGAGCGCAGGTGAAGGGCTAGCCACGCCCAGCTGGCCAGTCCGCCCGCATCCGGACCCCGGGGACGGGGGGGGGAGGGGGAGCGACCGTGCTGCCCGGAGGAGTCCTTGTGGCCGGCTCCTCGCCGCCGCCGCCGCCACCAGCCCCGGGCTCCTGCCAGAAACCCCCTCCGGGAAGCGCGGACGAGCCCATTGGGCGGCCAGAGCCGCAGCTCTCCCAGGCCTGCCCCCTAGCGGGCGAGCCCGCCGGCGCCGCCAGCCCCTCTCCCGCCGCCTCGCGTCTCTCTTCGCCATCCGAAAGCGGCGAGCGATGGGCGCCGGGGGGCGGCCCGCCCTGCCCCTGCCCCGCAGCCCGCTGAGCTGAGGGCGGGCGGGCGGCCTTCGCCGAGCAGAGCGATGAAGTTCCCGGGCTCCGTCCTGGTCTCGCTCTTCCTCTTCGTGGCCGAGACGGTGGCCGCCCTCTACCTGAGCAGCACCTACCGCTCGGCGGGGGACCGCATCTGGCAGTCGCTGACGCTCCTCTTCGCCCTGCTGCCCTGCGTCCTCGTCCAGTTCAGCCTCGTCTTCATCCACCGCGACCTCAGCAGGGACAGGCCGCTCGTGCTGCTCCTCCACATCCTGCAGCTCGGACCCATTGTCAGGTGGGCGCCTCCCGGGAGCCCTGCGGGCTGCCCAGGGGGACCAGGAGCCGGGCCGGGCGGGGCGGGGCTCGCGGGACGGATCCTGAGCCCTTGGCGCGTGCGGGGGGGGGCGGCCTTGATCCACACCCCCTCCCCCACACCCCCGGCCGATCGGAATGGCTGCCCGGCGTGTCCGAACGCCCGCCGCCCCAGAGACGACCCCAGCTCGCGCCTTGAGTCAGGGCCCGCGTAGCCTGGCGGAGGGAGCCCTTTTGCTGTTCTCTTCCTTCATCAGCAGGTGCCGAGATTTGGTTACTGTACGCAAATAGATGCAGGGATAGGCGGTGGCTCTGATGTGGGGCTTCTGTGCAGCCTTGCAAGGTAGCTGCCTGTAACTATGGCAAAGAGACGTGCCTTACATAACGGCATGCCCATACATTAGAACTTATCTCTGTGGGAAGGGAGGTCAGGGTGTGCCGCTGTATTCCACCTGTTTGATCATGCTATATGTTGACTGCATGAACAAGACTGATCCCCCCCCCCTTCAAAAACCAGGCCCTTAGTTTCTTGTGGGGGGCATACAACCACACATCTTGGCCTTTCTGTTATCATAATATACTGAAAGATCCTGTTGGATTTTATTTATTCCTTTTTTTAAAAACCTCATACTTCCTAATTCTGGAGGCTGTTCTGTGTTTGGCAATACTTTCCTTTCAAGGTGTAACTTGGAGGCAAATAATACTGGGAGATCTCAGAGCCACCTGTAAATAAAAGAATGCCCAGAAGATTTTCAACCAGTGTTTAAAGGGAGAACATTTCAAAGCTGTTATGCAGGTAGTTGGCAAAAAAAAAAAAGGCTTTGAAGCTTTGGGGTCACAGCTAACATTGCCGAGGAGATCCACTGTCTACAGTTGGCCCGCTGGCCTGGAGAAAAATGCTGTGCCCTTAAGGTATGGAAATGGGCAGTTGAAACTTTTCATGGCATGGAGGTAAATGTCACCTGTAAATAATATCCTATTAAGCCTCTAATGAATTAACAGGACATCCCCCCACCCCCCACAAGCCACAAGCCATTTGGCAACTCTACTGCTATCACAGCTTGTGACATCTTTCTAGTGCAAAGAACCATAGAAATACCAAGCTGTAGTCTGAGGTTATGTGTCAGTCAAACAGTAAACCAGAAGCCATAGTGCAAAAAATGAAATATTCAGCCAACCTATTATTGTAACTCCACCTCTGTGAGTTAGGAAGGTGCTCGTTCTTGAGCACAGAGTCCTATCTGTTACCTCGTGTTAGCCACACTTCAGCTGTGTGGTGGGCTGTTGCTCAAGGTAAACTACCTTGAGCCTTTGTAGGCCACTGTGCTCAGCAAAAAAAGGGGGGAGGGGAAAGTCCAGTGACTTTCTGAGTTCTTGAAAGCTTCTATCTGGAAAATCTTATTGGTCTCTAAGGTGCTACTCGACTCAGAGCTGGCTGTTCTTTTTATTGGTGGCTTTCTTAGTGTCTCTCAATTTTCCTGCTTTTCCGCACACAAAATGCCATCTGTTGTGCCATTTTCCCCATCTCCAAGAGCTTTATTGTACTCTTGATTCTGAGATTTTTTTTTCTTGAAGAAAAGCCATTCATTTTCTAAGCCAGTCCATCTATGACTGGATAAACTTGCCCGATTGTGCTGCTCCAACAGATCTAATGATGCCAGAGCATTGTGGAGCATGGAGCAAGTTGTTTTGATGATGATGTTTAGTGATGAGTGTGACTTTTGCAAACTTGTGGGTGGGGTTTGAATGTCCCTTTTTTTAATTCCATTTCTCTCTTATGAAAAGGAACCCCTAGCAAATTTTTGTTTTACACACTTTTTTGTCGTCGTTGTTCAATCGCACAGTTGAGTCCAACGCTTTGTGACCCCATGGACCACATCACAGCAGGCCCTGGTGTCTTCTGCCATTCTCCAGAGTTTGCTCAATTTTATGTCCATTACATCAGTAACACGGTCTAACCATCTCATCCTTTCCTGTCCCCTTCTTCTGTTACTTTCAATTTTTCCCAGCATCAGGGTCTTCTCCGGTGAGTGCTCCCTTATCATTTGGTCGCCAAAGTATTTGAGCTTCAGCCTCAGTATCTGTCCTTCCAGGGAACAGTCAGGTTTGATTTCTTTTAGGATTGACTGATTTGATCTCCTTCCAGTCCAAAGGACTCTCAAGAGTCTTCTCCAGTACCATAATTCTTCTTCTTCTTTTCTTCAGCACTCAGTCTTCTTTATGGTCCAACTCTTGCAGCCATTCATGACTACTGGGAATACCATTGCTTTGACTATGTGGACTTTTGTTGGCAGTGTGGTGTCTCTACTTTTTATTATGCTATTTAGGTTTGCCATAGCTTTACTCCCAAGGAGCAGGCATCTCTTAATTTCATGACTGCAATCACTGTCTGCAGTGATTTTGGATCCCAGGAACGTGAAGTCTGTCACTGCTTCCATGACTTCCCCTTCTATTTGCCAAGGAGTGATGGGGCCGGATGCCATGATCTTAGTTTTTTTGATGTTGAGCTTCAAGCCCACTTTTGCGCTCTCCTCTTTTACCCTGAGCAAGAGGCTCTTGAGGTCCTCTTAAGTGGTTAAGTACGCGGACTGTAATCTGGGAGAACCGGGTTTGATTCCCCACTCTTCCACATGCGGCTGCTGGTGTGACCTTGGGTTAGTCACAAGTTCTCCCAGAGCTGTTCTCTCAAGGGCAGTCCTCGAAAGAGCTCTCTCAGCCCCACCAACCTCACAGGGTGTCTGTTAGGGGGAGGGGAAGGGAAAGAAGTTTGTAAGCT